CCGCCCGAACGTTACAAATTGCGGGTTGGAGATGCTCGGTGAGCTGAGAGCCGGCTCTGAACTCGGGGCGCGTTTCCAGGGGCAGCGGGCTCCTGGGTGGCCTGGGGGGCCAGGCTGCTTTGGTCTGGGGGCTGTGTTTGGGATGGCTGTGATTGGCCGTGTTCGTTCATCGAAAACTTACGGGGCCCAAAATACACGATAGATCTGCATCCAATAATTACTGAAACTCAAAAATGAGTAGGACAACAAAAAACTGGCGCCTGGAGACCATGGGGAAGCTCGGACGCAAAGCATGAATCTGAAACAGTCCTGGTAAGGCCGTTTGATCTTGAAGGTCAGATGGCTTGTGAGAGGGGAGGGAGAGAAAAATCACCTTGGATGATTTTTGCGCCCCTTGGGCGGAAGGAGACTGCGGCTCTGGGGCTCCCAGCCCGCTCTGCTAAAACCCTTCGAAGCCTCCCGGCCCTGAGCGGCCCAAGGTAGTCAGAGCAGGGATGGGCCTGCAGGGGGCGCTGGTGAGAAAGGGCACATGGGTGTCCTTCAGCAGCCTCCAGGAGTGCCCCAACAGGTGGGGGGGAGTGCCCACACAGAGGAACAGGGGTGCCCAGTGGCTGCTCCTGTGGTGTTAACTAATCGTCCGTCTCCACGTCCACAGGTCCCTAGGCAGAAGCCAGACTGGCTCGAACTATGACCAGCCAGATACTGTCCCCTCGGCGCCTGGTGACTGACTTTCCCACTCTGTCCCAAAAGTGTGTAGAATATTCCTGCAGACCTCTGATGCACCACAGGGCTTACTGAGGACTTCATTTGAAACCAGCACTCCTGGTTCTAGCCTCCAATGAGGAGGTGACAGTGGAAACTCAGATGAGGGTCTCTGGGCTCTGTTTCTCCCTAGGGGCTTTGGAGCTACCCAGATCCTCCTGACTGACATTGAGGATCCTGGCAGTTAACATGGTTAAGAGCAGCATTTGGGCCAAGTGAGTACCAGCACGGTTGTTGTGGCGTCCTGGAAATTCACCTAAAGCAGCAGCTATCAAACTTGAGCATCCACTGGGGTCCCCTGCAGGCTGACCGTCCCTAGATTCCGTAGGGCTGTAGTGGGGTCCAGAATTGACCTTTCAAAGATTCCACCTGCTATTGCTGTTGCTGGCCCTTGAGTTTTGACCTCGTGATGGCGGTGATAGTGGAGGTGGGATTGGAGGTGGTGATGGTGGAGGTGATGTTGGTGGAAGGTGCTGTACCTCGAGGAATTATATTCACCCAAGCAGATAAAGTTGAGAGGTTACTGGCACCCACATGAACATGAGGGGAATGATATCCTACATATTAAAGTGCGCTGATTTTGATGAAGCAAAAATCAAAAGTACATCAAATGTGAATCCTAAATTAAAGTTTTAAGGGAAGCCTTTAAAAATCACAGATGCTGGGCTCTCCCTAGTGGGTTAAAGCACCACATTATGAACATCCCCAAAGCCACTGCACCACAAGTTCGATTCCCCGCCAGGGAGACAACTCACATGGCGCAGCAGACCTCTCCTGACCCGCCCGCTGCTCCCCTCAGCAGTGTGTTTCGGTGGATCGGCCTGTTCTGCTCCCTGCTCTGTCTCTGGTGAATCTTCTCACCCACCAGACCTCTGGCCTGTACCCCAGTTCTGTAAGCATAAATACATAAATCTTAAAAAAAAAAATCACAGATGCTGATTTCCAGTCAAGCCCCTTCTCTCTAGTCATGTAATTTGTTTCAGGATTCCTATCAGCAGGAATGTACTGAGAGTCATTACTGCATTGAGAGGCCCACAGGACAGGTGCAGGCCCAGCACTCTGACCCAGGGCCTCGGTAGCTACCAGCACGGCCAGGAATTGGTCAACAGGACCAGCCAGGAATCGCCAGACAAGCGGAACATGCTTTCCAAAGTGCTCCAACCTCCCGTTTCCGGGAGCCAGGGCTTGTGAAGATTGCTCTTTCTTCTCTATAGACTTTCCCATCAGTATTTGAGTCTCCACTTATATTTGAGTCTCTTCCAAATGCAAGGGACGGTGGCTGACTCCCTTGCTATGGAAAGCTCTGAGTAAATCTCTCTGTTCACTCTCAGCAAGCCAGCAACTTGGAATGGTTCTGCCAGTGTAGCTAATTCTAATACCACTAGGTGGCACCATTGACTTGCGAAGTGTCGCCAAAGCCTGCAGCCGCACTGGGTTCCTGACGGCCTGGGAAGGAGCTGGTGGCCATGGGGGGCAAGAGAGAGGCCAAGGCCCATCTCACTGTCTTTCCACAGGATTCGAGTGAGTGGCCATAGCATCTCCCTTGTCCCACCATCACACCCACCCCTCCGTGTGAGGTAGGCGAGTACTAGTTCACGAGCTGGAGAAGGTGGGGGCGGGGAACTGACTGGCTCTGGGCTTCTCTCAAGTTCTGCACTTTTGAGATTTGGGACAGGACAATTCCCTGTTGTGTGTCAGGGGTCAGCCAGGGGAGGAGCGGCTGTCCCATGCCTTGGAGGATATCTAGCAGCATCTCTGACCCCCTGCCCACTGGAGGTCAGAAAAACCCTTTCCCGCCCTGTGGCTTTAAAATATCTTCCATGGATGAGCTTCCCTGCAACCCAGCAATCCCACTCCTAGGTATCTACCCAAAAGACACAAAAACACTGATTGAAAAGGACACCTGCACCCCCATGTTTATTGCTGCTTTATTCACAATTGGAAAGACATGGAAACGGCCCAAATGCCCAAAAATGGATGCCTGGGTTTAAAAGATGTGGTACATGTAGACAATGGAGGATTACTCAGCAACCAAAAAAAGGAAACACATGTCTTTTGCAGCAACATGGATGGAGCTGGAAAAGATCATGCTTAGTGAGATAAGCCAGAAATAAAAGGGAAAATACTGGATGGTTTCACTCATAGCAGGAATATAACAGAACAGGTGAGAAAATAATAAGGATGAACAGCTATATACCAGAGACATTTTGTGGGGGTGGAGTGGGGAATGGGATCAGAAACAGTGGGGGGAGGGAAATGCACTGGACTATGGTGATGGCACACGGGTGATTTGGTGATGGGAAACCCAAGGGGGTCGCAAGTGAGATGGAAAAATGCACAAAATGATGTAAACAATAAACATATATAAATATATCTTCCATGGGACCCCCTGTTGGGGCAAAGGTTTAAGCATAGCGCTATGGGACTGTTTGCCACTGCAGTATGAATTCAGTCCCTGGCCA